CACATCATTCTGGAACGATAATTGGTTGGGACATGGATGCCTAAAGGAAAGATACCCCGATATGTTTGGTTTGGCACAAAACCAGCATAAAACAATAGTTGATATGTGGAGTTATCAAGGATGGGAACTCACTCTTAGAAGATAGTTGAATGACTGGGAGATAACAAGATTAGCTGACATCTACAAAGAGTTGGAGGCATTTAAAGGATTACAGGAAGGGGTGGATTCACTTTGGTGGCAGAGGCACAACAGAGGGGTCTATCAGGTGAAGGATGCATATAAGATTTTGAATCAAAATGATCTTCAGATAGATGCATGCTTGGCCATGGAAGCATATATGGAGAACAAAGATTCCATATAAGGTAGCATGTTTCTCTTGGCTACTAGCAAAGGAGGCTGTATTAACTCAGGATAATCTCATAAAAAGAGGAATTTCTCTGTGTTCAAGATGTTTCCTATGTGGGGAAAACACTGAGACTGTTAGCCATTTATTTCTACATTGCAAGACAACAGACCAACTATGGAAAATCTTTATTAGTCTTAGGGGTATTTCATGGACAATGTCATGCAGGATAATGAAGTTCTTTATAGTTGGGAAGAAGCTGGTGCTGAAGCAACTAACAGAGATAGATGGAGGACTGTCCCGACTTGTATCTGGTGGACAGTTTGGAGGGAAAGGAATGCTAGATGTTTTGAAGATAGAAGCAACCCAGTACAGAAGATCAAACTCAATTGTATTCTTCTTTTTTGTTTTTGGTGTAAACAGATTTACACAGAAGATACATTGACAATCGTAGACATACTAGGATCTTGCGAGGTTGCACACCAGCACATCTACTTACCACCTACTTGTAAATTTGGTTTTCAGTACAACCTATGTACTGATGTTATTAATATATACAAAAGTTATCAATTCAAAAAAAAGAGTAGTCTATTTTTTGGTAAAAATCAGAATTTCCAAAAATAGTTTTGTTCAAAAGCTGAATTTCAGGGCACCGTTGGCTTGTTTAGTGGGATAATATTATTTCTTCTAGGATGTTATGATGACTTCCAGCTCCTTGGGGTGTTGGGGGGATATTTTCTTATTTTATGGCTACAAAAGCTAGGAACTCGCCTGGTAATCCCTGTGCAAGCTTTTGATTTTACAACAACAAACAATAACATGCCAATGTAATCTCACAAGTGGGGTTTTGGGGAGGATAGTATGTATGCAGACTTTACCCCTACCTTGTGCAGATAGAGAGACTGTTTTCGATTGACCATCGGCTCAAGGGGAACAAAAACATAGCAATTTAAAAGAAATACGATAGTGAAGAAGACATGAGCAAAGACGCGTTAACAACGACAGGCTAATAACAAAACTAATGCAGAGGAAACATCATATAATAATAGAAGTCTAAGAATAAGTAAATACGAGAATAATACTAGAACAACCGATAAAGAAAGGAAAAATATTGTACTATCCACTAACCTTCCACTCTACTTCTCGACCTCCCCACCTTTTTGTCAAAAGTTTTGTCAAGCTATGTCATCAGTAAGCTGAAGATGAGCCATGTCCTGCCTAATCACCTTTCCCCAAACTTTTTAGGCCTACTTTTGCCTAATCACCTTTCCCCAAACTTTTTAGGCCTACTTTTACCTCTCCTTAGACTCAGCATAGCCAACTTCTCACACCTCATCACTGGGGCATTCGTGCATCTCCTCTTCACGTGCCGGAATCATCTCAACCTCGTTTCCTGCATTTTGTCCACCACGTAGGCCACTCCTACCTTATCCCAAATATCTTCGTTCCTAATCTTATCTTTTTTAGTATGCCTATACATCTATCTCAATTAATGCTACTCTTTAGTTTTTACATTGAAGTATTGGACATTTGCTTACAATTACATGTGTTGTCTATGCGGTATTTATTTTAATTTTTTCTTTTAAATTCCGCTTCACTTCAAAAAAGCGAGCATTTCGCTTCTCGCTTTAAGCGAAATGAGGGTTGTCTTTTTTCCTCGCTTCACGCTCTTCACAACATTGCTTATTGTACAAGACGCCAGATGCGAGCCTCTATTTCATCCGCCCCGCCCCAATACGATGTGTGACATCCTCGTCAATCTCCTCATTATCTTGGATTACCGACCCAAGATACTTGAAACTTCCTCTCTTGGGAATGACTTGTGTATCAAGCCTCACTTTGACATCTTCCTCATGAATTGCGTCACTAAACTTGCACTCCTAGTTTTCTATTTTGGTCCTGCTCAACTTGAAACTTTTAGACTCCAAGGTCTGTCTCCAAACCTCCAGGCTAGCACTAACTCTGCCTCTCGTTTCGTCAATCAGAACTGTGTCATCCACAAATAACATGCATCATGGTACTTCCCTTTGAATGTGCAACGTCAATTCATCTATCGCTAAGGCAAATAAGAACGGGCTAAGAGTTGATCCCTGATGCAACCCCATCATGACTGTGAAGTGTTCGAGTCTCCTCCAACTGTCCTAACCCGGGTCTTAGCTCCATCAAACATGTCTTGGATTGTCCTAGTATATGCAACTGGTACACCTCTAGTCTCCAAACATCTCCATAGAACCTCCCTTGAGACTTTGTCATATATTTTTTCTAGGTCAATGAACACCATATGCAAGTCCCTCTCCCTCTCCCTATACTGCTCTACCAATCCCCTTATAAGGTGGATAACTTCTGTAATTGATCGTCCCGACATGAATGTGAATTGATTCTCGGAAATAGACATACTCCTCCTCGTCCTCGTCTCCACCACCCTCTCCAAATTCATAGGGTGGCTAGCAGCTTGATACCCCTATAGTTGTTGCAATTTGAATATCACATTTGTTCTTGTACAACAAAATCATTGTAGTCCACCTCCATTCTTCGGAAGCTTTTGATTTTATGAGTACAAATGGCGATTGGAGAAAGTCTTTCTTCAATTGAGGACATTCAAGATAGAGTAGACTGCTTGCTTTTAAACGGAAAAATCTATTTCCTCAATAATAATATATACTTCTCTGAAACTCTTTACCATAACTAATTTAAAAGGATTCAAGAAACTGTTTCTAAGCATGGATGAGCTGGCGGTTGGTGTGGTGAGGTAAGCAACTCTTTTTCCGAAAAGCCAGAGACACAAGCTGCTACTCCTTCAGAAACTGAGAATATGCAAGGAAAGATAAAAAGCAGAATAAAGATATAAAAGGAAAGAAAAAACAAAGGTCTATAATCACTCAACCATGGTTTCTTTTAAAAAAAAACTAGGGCTACAGAGGGTTCCTATAAAGCATCTTACCTGCTTCAGTGAAGAAATCCAAGAAGTTGACAGCATCATACTATTGGAATATTTAAACTTCAGTACATATAAAAATATACCGGTGCGAAAACCCTTTTCTCAAGATATCTTCCAAACTGATGGAGTCATTGCTCCCGTTCTTGTTCTTCCAGTGTGAAAGCAGTTGGTTCCACTGGACTGGGTAAAAGTTGGTTCAGATTCAACTATCGGTGTTTGATTAATCTTGTGATAAAGTCTCTTCAAAACCGAACCTATACATAAGGAAATTCTGATAATGAATCATTGGACCTTACAGCCAATTTTTATGCTCCATTAGTTAGAGTTGCATGCTGAATGGAAGCTTATAATTTAGAGGGAGCACTTAATTAGAGAAACTAAATGAAGCAATTAGCCAAGTCCTAACATATGCAAAATGAGAAAGGCTTCATTTTCACTTTCTTGACTAGATACTTCTTAAATCTGCCGAAAAGATAGATTTTATTATGTTTTTACTTATCAATTAGGAAAAAGAAAAAGATAGATCTTCTAGTTCTAGTATTTGAAAGTTCACTTGCAAGGTTATGATAATTGTGTCTTCAGCTCATTGCAGGTATCTTACACATCATGGTTTCTTGATGCATTCAATTACGCAATTGCAACCAACATGGATGTGCTGAATTTGAGTATCGGTGGACCTGATTATTTAGATCTCCCTTTTGTGGAAAAGGTGAGTTCACTGATCGTTTGGCTTGTTTTAGCNAAATTCTGATAATGAATCATTGGACCTTACAGCCAATTTTTATGCTCCATTAGTTAGAGTTGCATGCTGAATGGAAGCTTATAATTTAGAGGGAGCACTTAATTAGAGAAACTAAATGAAGCAATTAGCCAAGTCCTAACATATGCAAAATGAGAAAGGCTTCATTTTCACTTTCTTGACTAGATACTTCTTAAATCTGCCGAAAAGATAGATTTTATTATGTTTTTACTTATCAATTAGGAAAAAGAAAAAGATAGATCTTCTAGTTCTAGTATTTGAAAGTTCACTTGCAAGGTTATGATAATTGTGTCTTCAGCTCATTGCAGGTATCTTACACATCATGGTTTCTTGATGCATTCAATTACGCAATTGCAACCAACATGGATGTGCTGAATTTGAGTATCGGTGGACCTGATTATTTAGATCTCCCTTTTGTGGAAAAGGTGAGTTCACTGATCGTTTGGTTTGTTTTAGCCCCCTCTCCGTCATAATACATACTGCACATTACATTTCGGAGCACCTCAAAATGTTTGACACGCTTCTACAATAATATTTGTACACTTTCACTTAGATCAAGACTTCAAAATCAGATATAGGACATACTTCAGAGTCATCTTTTGATGGCGAATAACTCAAAATCATCCAACCATTCAAATTTAATTTTGCTGCAATGTTCCCTATCATATGTTATTAACAAGACAACAACAGTAATGTTTCTTCTATAACCAATATGATAACCGATATACATGGAAAATTAAACTTTAATTTTCCCCCCACTTAAACTACCTCATATGAAATGCAAATGGAGCTAGTACTTGTAAATGTGTATGATGCTCGGGGTGCCTATCCTCTCCTTAGGCAATCAATGCATTTTTCTTCTGTTGCATTAATCAATATAATATTCTGGTTTAAGATTTTGTGTCATCCGTAGTCTTCATTATTAATAGAAGTTTGGTTTCAACTGTCAGCATGTGAATGATATGTGTCCATTGTTGCTTGACATAGTGCACGTAAGACTGAAGTGAATAGCCATTACTGTAAAGGAGAACCGGGATCCAAAAATAACTTGTGTGTAGATTCTGGTCTTATTTAGTTACCCTCAATGCAGGTGCAAATTGCATATTTGATATGCTCCTTTATGTATTCACATATTTGGCCCTTCACTAGCTAGAGTAGCACTCTTCCTGAGTTGATTCTGTGCACATGTCTATTAGTTCAGCAAAGTGCATCTGTTCATGGAGGTCTCAAGCATGAGAGTTGCATTTTTACTTTAGCATGCAATTTAGTTGTAGAGATTTTGAGTTGTTAAGCTTGTCATATTGTCGAATTTACCAATATTCTCAGCAGGATACTGATTAAGGATTAGCGGTGGAAGCTTTAGTTTTATATTAATGACATTTGAAATATCTCTAGGTTTGGGAGCTTACAGCAAACAATATTATCATGGTTTCAGCTATTGGGAATGATGGACCACTGTATGGTACTCTAAACAATCCAGCAGATCAAAGTGATGTTATTGGTGTTGGTGGCATTGATTACAGTGATCACATAGCTTCTTTTTCCTCTCGTGGCATGAGTACCTGGGAGATTCCTCATGGGTATCAGTTCCTCCTTTGTTTTTCTGTACTTTTATTTTCTCTGGAGTATAGGTTTGCTTATTATTAGCCTCCCTGCACCTCTTGGAATTATTTTCACCATTCTATGCGTGAGCACGAATAGATTTAGAAGTCTGATTGGATGTGCAAGTGACATTTATGGGGAAAAGGGAATAAAAGAAATACATATGCCTTGAAGATCAGCTCTTCTAAAGCATATATGTAGTCTATGAGCTTTGTGTCCATGGTTTTGATGTTTTTAGTCAAGTTCAGAAACGGAAAGCTGTTTGATGATAAATACTGTGGTATAAAACAACTAGGTTGGAATGCCAATTTTATGCAATTCTTTCCTCTGCTAAGGGAAAAAATGAAGAGAAAGATGATATGTAAATATGAAAGAAAAAAACTACTGTCCTTTTTTTGGTTATAGTGATAATTTATGCTTTTCCAGCCTTCTCATAGACTTGTAACCATGTAATTTTTCTTTAACAGTTATGGTCGTGTAAAGCCTGACATTGTTGCGTATGGACGTGAGATAATGGGATCCAAAATTAGTACAGGTTGTAAAAGTTTATCTGGCACAAGCGTGGCGAGTCCTGTGGTTGCTGGTATAGTATGCCTGCTTGTTAGCATAATACCTGAAAACAAGCGAAAGGACATTCTTAATCCAGCTAGTGTCAAACAAGCACTGGTTGAGGGGGCTGCAAAGCTTCCTGGTCCCAACATATACGAGCAGGGTGCAGGCAGGGTTAATTTGTGAGTACCTTATATCCTTATAGTTTGAACATTAAATCAACACGTATTATGTTCTACTCAATATTTAACTTGAATGACAGGTTGGAGTCCTTTGAAATTTTGAAGAGCTATGAACCTCGAGCAAGTATTTTTCCAGGTGTTCTTGATTTCACCGACTGCCCATACTCTTGGCCTTTTTGCCGTCAACCACTTTATGCTGGTGCCATGCCAGTCATATTTAATGCCACTATTTTAAATGGAATGGGTGTAATTGGTTATGTCGAAAGCCCGCCTACATGGCACCCCTTTGATGAGGAAGGCAACCTTCTCAGCATCCATTTTACCTATTCAGATGTCATTTGGCCCTGGACTGGTTATCTTGCACTGCACATGCAAATCAAAGAAGAAGGAGCTCAGTTTTCAGGGTTAATTGAAGGTAATGTGACTGTCAAGATCCACAGCCCACCTGCTCTAGATGAAAAGAGTCGTCGAAGTAGTACCTGTGTCCTTCAATTGAAATTAAAAGTGGTTCCTACTCCACCAAGATCTGTGCGGATATTGTGGGATCAATTTCACAGTATCAAATATCCTCCTGGTTATATTCCAAGGGACTCCTTAGATGTTCGGAATGACATTCTTGACTGGCATGGGGATCATCTGCACACAAATTTTCACATAATGTTTGACACGCTAAGAGATGCTGGATACTATATTGAGACTCTTGGCTCTCCTCTTACATGCTTTGATGCTCGCCAGTACGGTACACTTCTTCTGGTGGATCTTGAGGAGGAGTACTTCCCTGAAGAGATCAAGAAACTGAGAGATGATGTCATTAATTCAGGTCTAAGTGTAGTTGTATTTGCTGACTGGTACAATGTGGACACAATGGTAAAAATGAGGTTCTTTGATGACAATACACGTAGCTGGTGGACTCCGGTCACTGGAGGTGCCAATATTCCTGCCTTAAATGATCTTTTGGCATCCTTTGGGATTGCATTTGGGAATAAAATTCTGAATGGCGATTTTGTCCTCAACGGTGAACAGAGTCGGTATGCATCTGGAACTGATATTCTAAAGTTCCCAAGAGGTGGATACTTGCACAGCTTCCCCTTCATGGATAGCTCAGAGAGTGGGGCCACACAGAATATCCTTTTGTCTGGCATGACCAAGGTTAGTTGGAAGGCTGTCATAATTTAGTTTTGTTTCCACCTACTGAACTTCTTTAAATTCATAAAAACAAGATCTTTACTAAAGCAGAAAGTCGACTTTTGAGCTTTTCTCTTTTCGCGTATTCCTGAATGCTGAGTATCTCTGATTCCTAGAACTTAAAGAATAGGAGAGATATGGTAGTCTAATATAGCACAAAGTGTAATCTCTATAATGAAACATGAGGAAGAGTATACTCTATACTGCAATATCATAGCTCTTCTAATCGTCTACTTATTATGATAAACATTTCACTTAAAAACTAAAGAAAGATACGTGGAAAATACAAATGAGTGTAGATATACTGCTACTTTAGGGGATTGTGGGAGAGGAGACTGGTGATCCTACGGTAAAGGAATGTTTTTTACTTGTCAATACATTTGTAGAATATAGATTTTTGGTATCACTTTAAGTTTCACAACTTACTACTGGAAGAAAAGTCCATTTCACTCCAATAAGAACTCTTATGCTAATGACAGTTTCTTCAATATTTTAGGTGGTGTTTGAGCTGCTGGTCTAACTTGCAATTTGTTTTGATGAATGCAGACAGATACACCTATTCTTGGTCTTTTGGAGGTTGGTGGGAGTCGAATTGCAGTATACGGCGACTCTAACTGCTTGGACAGCAGCCATATGGTTACCAATTGTTATGGGCTTCTGAAGAAAATGCTAGATTTTACAAGCAGGAATGTAAAAGATCCTATGCTTTTCTCAGATTCAGTTAGGCAGGAGAAACCATTATATGCTGATAAGAACCAGCTACCAACCCGTAGAACGGATGTGAATTTCTCTACTTATTCTAGAGTTGTTGGAAAGGAGTTGATCTGCGGGCGTGATTCTAGATTTGAAGTATGGGGAACTAAGGGTTACAATTTACAGGTCAGAGGAAGGAACCGTAGACTACCTGGCTATCCTGTTATTGACTTGGGTAGAGGTTTAAATTCTACAGTAGAGACACCTGTTTTAGTATTAACTAACACAACGCAGAACATCGACGACTCTCCTGGAAACAAGTACTGGGGCTTCTTTTACAGAGATGATGTAAGAAACTCTTGCTAGTTGTTTGTTATGAAACTTCATTTGATAACACGAGTTTAACTTCTGTACACTGCATTGAAAAAGACTATAATGTCACTACCTGCTAACATCGTCAGGTCACCTAGATGATAGACCATAGATAATATTACTACAACGGGTCAAAATGCACTGATAGTTTAAATCTTTTTAGAACTGTCAGTGTATACATCCTAACAACACATCTCATTTTACTTGATTGCAGATTGACATGCCCGTGCTTGTAGCTACTCACTGGTTAGTGCCAGCAATTATTGCCATCACAGGTGAGTGTGAACATTTATGCATACTACTGATGGAAGAATTCAAAAGTTTTTTCTCATCATTCTTACAAACTTACCACCATTACTGTCAGGTCTATTGATACTATTCTGGCGCATGCAAAAGCGTCGGAGGAGGAGGAGAGGTTCTGGTTCGGGTCGATTTACTAATTTATAGCCCTAATCATGAATTGGGTTTTGTTCTTTGAGGTTATTATACTCCTGTAGGTTGTTTTATGTAATATCATAGGACATTGCCTAGATCACCGAAAAGGTGAGTTTTGTATTCAGTAGTGTAGCAATTTGACATTTTCTTTCCTCATTAGATTGATTTCTAGACAGTAAATCACAAAAATTCTCTTAGAGAAAAGATGAAACGAACTGTAGTTGGTTCTCTTGGTGGGAGTTTTGGCTTACTGGTTTGCCTGATAATTTCATCTGTCTAGATACAGAGAGCATTATTATCGTGTGATTACAGCAGTCTCGAAGTAGATTATCGGAAAGAAAAATTTCCCAAACTCAATGGTACTCCTGTCCTGCCTCAAGTGTGAGGATTGACGCATAAAGTCGAAAATTCAAATACGTATTAGGTTTTCTTTTAATTTTTTAGTAAATTTACATTTCTAATATTTTACATAAAAGTTCCATAATCATAAAATTTTACAGTTCAAAGTAACTAAAAACTGTACTAGAAAATTGCAGTTGAAGAAATAATTCACTTCTCTAAGTATATGCAGCGGAGAATCCACAAAATATTGCAAAGCCAACCTTTTCCGGGGAAAAAAGAGGTCTTCAAATATTTTGAGATTCGTAATAATATGGGAAAATACATAAGTACCTTCTAATCTATAGCCTAACTGGATTTTTAATTACACACTTTGTCTTTACGGGACCTTATTATCTCTTGAACTATTTTTAAATGGAATTAGTATACCCTTAGTGCTGATGTGGCAGAAGAGAGTGTATGCCACCCTCCTTGGAGAGCGGAAAGAGAGAATGCTGAAATTTTATTTTTTATAATATTTTTATAAAATATACTATTTTCTTTTTGTTCTTTTCTCTTGTTTTTCTTTTTCTTTTCCTTTTCTTTCCTCCAGTTTTGTTACTTATAGATTAACCGAAAGTTAGTTCTGGCATTCTCCATATTCTCTAACGAGATCGAGTTGAAGATTTTATTCTTTCCTCTCCATGTTTACTACATTTTATAGAGGATTACTACAATTTCTAATCTCTTCACTCACCACTTTTAAACTTTCAATTGCAATTGCTTCTCATAAAAGGAATGAAAAAAAAACTCGTCCCCAAATTAATTTTTGAGTAAACCCAGAAGAAGCCCACAAAAGACCGAACAAGAAGAGTTTTGATTGTTAGTTGCAAAAATATTCTCGCCATGCTCGTCATTTCCTGATTGGGGCCTTCGGCTTTTCACTGTTTCAAGTAGTGAGGTGGGGGAGGAGAGTCCTTTTTTTTAATTAATCAAATTTACATAAAATAGAAAACAAGGAAGAATTTGATTGTTGATTGCCAAAAAAAAAAAATTCCACGAGCTCACAATTTTTCGATTTGCTTCTTCAACCAAAAAATATCGCTGCTTCACTTGTGGGATAGAAGATGGTGGGATATGTGAAAAGGGAAAAGAATTTTAAAAATATAGAACGTGAGTTGGGAAAAGAAGTAGATGGAAAAAAAAAACACGAAAAAACGATTTTAGTGGAAAATACATGTGTCAGGCGCGTGTATCAAGATGATATTAATTCCATTTAAAAATAATTCAAGGAGATAATAGAATCCCTCCAAAGATAAAGTGTGTAATTAAAAATTCGGCTATGAATCGAGGAGTACTTATGCATTTTCCCTAACAAAATAGTGGACCACTGCATTTCTTCCACGACCAAAGGATAAAACATGTTGTGGTTCACTTTGTCTTTAAATAAACCTTGGAATTGCCTGATAATTTTTGCTGTGAAATTGACTAGCAATTACTGTCTCAACTCTCAAATGTATCTGGAACTGGAAATGCCCATTCCACAAGAATAAAATTGGCCAGATGTTACATGATCTCGACCTATATAGTGATCATATCACAACATTTACCAAACAGCATATGCGTGGACGAATATCATTCCAGAAACCCTCTCTCTCACATAAGGTTAAAATACCAACAGAGTAAAAAAAAAAAAAAAGGCATATTTGTTTGCTTCAGAAAGAAAAGAAAGAGAATAAGAAAGGGCAAATTTTAATTTCATCCAAAGAGAAACAATATCCTAAATACTAGGTAATGGTTCTTGTTATTACTACAAACAATCAGGTCTTTACTTGAACATCTCCTAAATTTACAAACTTAAATAGCATATGTCCCGGACTTGAATAAATCAACCATGATACAGAGCTTACCGGGGAGGATCTATATATAGAACACGTTTGAAGTCCTACCATCTCAAACAGAGTGAAGATTGGATTTTAATCTGTTCCTTGCATCGGGACCATCATATGCTGACCCTGCAAAAAGCAATTTCAAGAGATACAATAAGCATCAGGTTGACATATAATATCTTGGGGGGAATCTCAACAATCAATGTGTCGACTAACAGTCTAACATTGCCACCAAATAGCCTTCAAATATATGCTTGCTTAAAGTTCATAGATTACCCAACCCCTCCCCACCTTTTCACCTAGTTGAACGAAGGCAAAACTCTCTCTTGTGCAGATTGGCTTTCTATTGCCATCCTAAAACAATGCATGTGCTACAAGAGAGAAAAGCTTGGTAGAATTTACTCATTAAGCAACAGGCTTAGTACTTAACCCTGGAATCTTCAGAAAGAAGAGTCAGGACACTGAGAGAAAATCATTTTTGCAGGTCCTTAAAATTGTTTTGACTTAAATTTCCTTATTCTTACTAGTTCATCCAACTATCAATGACATTGCGCAATCAGAATTCAGGAGGAGCAAGTTCACAATAGTAAGGCCCTCCTATAACTGAGCAGGTCATAGCGAGGCTCAACTCACCCCTCCAGGCTAACAAATACTAAAAAAGAAGAAAAACAAGGGTGGAGGTAGGAGCACTCCATGCAAAGTCGAAAAAGTGGCCAACATTGCAAAACCAACAGGCAGACAAGAAAAGTGAGAATAATAAGCAACTGTCCCTCCCAGTGCAGATAACCATAATATATGGTATATGGATTGATCAAGTAGTTTAGTAAGAATACGAATCACTCAACACCCAGAAATCTTTACTGCTTTTCATATTTTTTCTGATAAGTTCATTTCTTTTCATATTTCCCTCCAGAGGATGCTTTTGCTGTCATCAAGACTAAATATGAGGACCATTATATTGCACCTTTGTGAAATTGTTCCTTCTAGAAACCTACCACTTGCCAATCTATATACTCAAGTCTGATAAACACCAACATAATTTATTGGTTTAAATTAAAAGAACAGCAATCTGATGAGCCTTCCAAAGCAACACAACAACTATGCCTCAGTTGAGGTCGGCTATGTGAATCCTCACTTCCAATATTAGCTCAACTCATGTTATCATCATAACAAATAAAATAAAGATGAAAAATAAATTTTATGAGAGTGTGTGTTTGTGTGTCTATATATATTTAAAAAGTCTAAAAACCTATTCCTAGCTAGTAGATATCATCTTTATGGATCTTTTTCTTCCATTGATTTTGAGAATGGCAACAATATTATAAAGGTGCAGCACAAAGACTGCTAAAGCCATCTGTAGAATTCAAAGGAAATTAGCTACATGCCTATCTTCTGCCACCTACTAAAGGAATTCTATGATACCTAGCATAAATCAACATCATGTACTTAATCTTCCTTACACCAAAAGTGAGACCAAAAGAAAGAAAAGGATATTCCATCGTGATCTTCTGTAAGGAATTGTTGTTTCCTTCAAATCACCTATTGTTTTTCTTTCTAAATGGTCCGCCATATGCATCCTGGAAGTTCAATCTTTAGCTAAGTTTGTGCGTTGTTTCCAAGGATATATAGGTCTTTCCAGACAACTTCCTTCCATGTGATTTTAGGTCTACCCCGTCCCCTTTTAACACCATCACTCACCATAGTTTCACACTTATTACACTTATTGACCGGTGCATCTGTAGGCCTACAGAGGACATGACCAAACCATCTCAAAACGATACATTGTATCTATTTACATTTAGAAAAATACTCAAAACGTAAATGATTTGAGGGCCAGGCTAGTTAGTTTATGTACTTTGATCAACGTTGACGAGCTTAGTGCACCTCCGACGTAATGTTCAATTAGGACCACACTTGCTTCCAACGGTATCACCCACCTTCATACCTTTGGAAGGATTTATTTCATACTTAAAAGTCTCAAATGTTACCGCCAATTAAGTTCTCAAGAAACATGTGAACAATGTATTCGATCTATCAATTATCAGATAATCAACAATACAAGTGTTGCAAAGTAACATCTTCAAATCATAACATATATCTAGGATAACTATTCAATAAGCATTGTACTTTCCCACTTATGTCCACAATGCACTTGACACTCATATGACAGTTACACATGTCCAAACCTCCAGCTATTCAGCAAATTCTGACATAAAAAACAACTACTACATAACAATCCCAAACAAGTAGGAGCAGGCTTTATGAGTCCTCAAAGACCATTATTCTCCATTTAAAATCACCTCAGACCAACATTACTGCGAGGATTCACCGTGATTTAGCTAGTTTAAACTGGTTACCAGCCTACCACAACCCTCATCCTTTATCCATCCGAGCAACATGGTCACCATTAAAGCCGGAAGAAATAATGAGCTCAACTTTGAACTATTTACTTGCAATGGTTTTAATAAGACAAATACAGATACCTAAGTTTCATTCTCAAAAAAAAAAAAAAAAAAAAA